AGTTTGCAGGAGAGGTCGGTCCTCAGGGACCACCCAGAGACCAAACAGGTGGTTTTGCGCAGGGGCTCGCAGACTCTCATACGGATATTTTGTTTGGGGGACAGAGTGACAGAACAGAGGCCCCCTGATTCTCTAAGCTCCCGGTCTTCTACTTGCTAACAAACAGGTCAGACACCTCCTGAATGCGTGACGACGCGAAGAACTTTCGGGAGGCTAACTCTAGTTTTTACGTGATTGTAAGCAAAGCGCCCCCCCCAAATGTCCCCATCATCGTGAAGCCAGCATTTTGTGGGGAGATAGAATAAACAAGGCAAATAAGTAGACGACCAGTAATGCAAGGAAGAAAATGAGGCCAGAGACAGGAAGCGCCGTCGAGGTTAGGCCGGGTGGCCTCCGGGCGCTTCTGTGCGGAGGCCCCAGAGGATGGATGAAAAGGGGATGAGAAGGGGGAAAAGAACAAGCCCTGTGAGTATTCAGCAGCGGAAAGGTCCAGAAAGGGGTCAGCAGGTGCACAGCTCCAAGCGGGTTCTAGAGAAGGCCTTTGGGGTCGGGGACAAGGAGCAGGAAGCAAGATGAGGCAGCCCGGCCAGGCGGTGGGGTTTACAGATCCCTCTCAGGAATTTGGCTTCTCGGGTAGCCAAGGAGCCTTGACGGTTTTTAGTAGAGAAGCGACGCGATTTCAAATTTTAGCAGGAGCACCCTGGCTGCTGTGTTGCCCCAGCAGGGCGGGGAGCTGGGTGAGGAGGACACGGCAACACCCCCCACAGGAGGCGGTAGGGTTGGGGTCACGTCGGGGGTGGTAAGAGAGACTTGTTTAGGGGCGAAGGGCACAGACTCTGCTGACAGAGGGAAGGTGAGGAAAGGAGAAACAGGAGTCCATGTTACTCCAACAAATTTGGTGTCGGGGCAACAGGAAGGTTGAAATGCCCATTCCCTGAGGCGGGAAAGGCAGCGAGAAGAGCAGGTTTGGGGTGAAGGTGACATCAAGAACCCGTTTACAGCCCAGTTACGTTTCTGATGCCTTCTAGGCACCCAGGTGGAGGTGTGATTCAGACTGGGGTCCAGACTTTTGGGGAGAGGCCTGAGCCACATACATTAGTGACAGCAGCTTCTGTATTCAGCTAGGACTTAACCAGGAGGCTGAGTGAGAGCTCGGGGTGGCGGGGGTGGGGTGGGGAACAGGTGGTGAGAGACAATGAGTGGCTGGGGGTCGGTCCTGCCATGCAACGGAGGAAGCTGGGGAGCTCCCAGGCTCAACACGCGGGACCCCAGGGAATGGGCCGGAAAGGTGGGAGGCTGTTTCTGGGAGTGTGAGAGCTGGAGAGCTCACAGAAGGATGTGTTTATAGGAAGGACACATGAACCCTGCCCAGTGTGGCTGGCTCTCACAGCAAGACGAGGACACAGATTCTCCCATGTCTGGCACAGCAGCCCTGGGGGGCCGGTGGCCCTGGGTGAGAGGGCGGTTTAGCTGAGCAGCTGCAGCAGAACTCTTAGGACAGTCTTACTGGGGTTGGCTCCGGAGCTAGTGGGAGGAGAGAGACCCAACAGCCTCTCCAGCAAGGGCTGTGTGCTGTTTGTTGTGAAGAGGAGAGAGACTGGGTGGGGGGGGGGGGCAAGAGGGGCTTAAGGATGGTTTTCTCCTAGGAAAACCCAGGGCCAGTGTGTGTTGGGGATCCACCTGCAGACGACTTGGGATGACTTAGGGGACACGGAGGAGGATGGTGAAGGTGTTTCCTCTGCTAGCGAGAGGGACTGGAGTCCAGTGTCCAAGTGGAAGGGAGGCCTTCTACAGAGCAGGAGCCCCTGGGAGAAGGCTGTGTGGCAGTCAGCTTCTTAAAACCTTCTTTGTCCCGCTGGGCGGAAGCTGCCTCTGAAGGGCCGTCAGCTCTGGCACCATACTTTGGGGCGCCTGCTGGCCCCAACCCCAGCTTGCAGGTTTCAGGGTAGCCAAAGGGTTCAGGTTCACTTCAGTCACATGTGTGTCCTGAGTCTTATGTGAAGCCCCTGTGGGGTGCAGGGCACCTCAGAACTCAATTCTTCGCGTTCCCGGGTGCAGTGTCCAGCGAAGGGGGGCACGGCGTCCCCCCCCCGCCCCCCCCGGTCGGCATGGGCCTAGCCCTCAAGCGGCTCCTCGCCACAGCGCCTGGGGGGCGTGAGCCCACGGATTCCCGGGGGTCCTCCCGGCTCAGCTAGGGAGCAGCCCGCCGGGGGCCCCTGCACCCGCACACCGCACCCTCACGCCGGCACGGAGAGCCCCGCGGGGCTCGGAGAGGCGGGTGAGCCGGTTTGAGTTGCCAGCGGTGCGCAGAGGAAGGCGACACCGTCGGCCCCAGCCACTGCCCTGAGCCACGTGGCCCCTCCTTCCACCCCCGCTCCCGTGTTGCTATGGGTCTGGGTGGCAGACAGGCCCTGGCCGGTTCCCCAGCCCCGCTCTCCGCCTCTCGCCCAGCGGGGGCTGCGCACGGCTCCGCTCTCCTGTTTTCCTGCTTGCGTTACACGGGGGAAAAGACCCCTGGGCTTGGAGGGGCGGGAGAGGGCAGGCGCCTGGTCTTTTTAGGGCGGTCGCTGGGGGGGGGTGTCCCCCGCCCCCGCCCCAAGGCGAGGCTGCTTGTCCCCGCATGGGAGGAGCGCCCCCCCGCAGGCGTGACATCCTCGCAGAGTGGTGGTCCCCGCGCGCGGGCGTCCATCCATTCACTGCGACTCTGAGCCCAGCGCGGCCCTGAGGCTCGGACGGAATCTATGAATGGGGAGAGGCAAGCGAAGCGACGTCTGCTTCCACTCCCCGCTTCCCCGCCCCCTCCTCCGCCTCCCTCCAGCCCGAGCAACCAGATACTAAGTGACAAGGGGCCGGGGCGGGGGACACTGCGGGGGCGTGCGGGACGGGATGCGAGTCTGGCTGGAGACAGCACTATTTATACACTCCCGGGGCTCCAGGACAAAGAGGGCAGAGCGGAGTCCCCCGCCCCCCAACCCCAGAGCCTCCCCGGCCCCTCCCCAGCGGCTTTGATTTCATTACCGCCCCCCCTCCCCGGGGCGGGCTGGCAGGTGCGGGGGTGGGAGCCGTCTCCGCGGGAGCCGCTGAGCCAAAGGTCCGGCTGCTGACGTCGGAGCGCCCGCTCCTGTCAATGAACGGCAGCGGCAGCCTGGGGACTCGTCTGGCAACGAGGCTACAGACGTCATCGCCTCCTGTTGGACGCGGGGGGGTGTCCGAGCAGCAGCTCCGGCTTAAAGGAAAACTCTCCAAGTTCCAGGCAGCCAGGGAGAGTCGTTGCTGAGAGCACATGCACCCCCAAATGCCCAGTGTGCGCGGCACACGGGCTGGCACACGCGCGCGCACACACGCGCACACGCGCGTGCACACTCGCACTCCTGTTCTCCATGGATGTGCGGGTCCAAACTTGCGGCCGCGGGGAGGATGAGCTGAAATGGACCGGTCTTCATTGGCGCTTAGAGCGCTGGACGCGGCTTCCCTGGAGACCCCCAGGGGGAGAAAGGGAGGGAAAGAAGAGTGTCACACTCGGGTCAGAGTTGTCTCCCCTTGTCTGAGAAGATCAGCGCGAATTCCAGGGGGCCCCGAGGCTTTGGAATATGCCTGCCGAGCGGAGCGGAAGCGAGCGTTCTTGGAGAGTCCCGAACTTGGGCCACCGGCCTCGCTTGGCAACTTGCTTTGCGCATTTCTCCATGGAGCCCTGGACCCACCGCGTTCCTGGCCGGTTGGCTTCTTTCTTCCTCTTTTCCCCTCTCTCTTTTTTAAACGTACGAACTTGAAATGGAGCCGAGAGCCGATCCATGCTTCAGCACACTTTGGCGGGTAAGTTGATAGTTGCTTTTACCTATTATTTAACCCTTGAGAGTCCAGAAAAACTTAATTCCAATCTTTTCCCCAACTTTCCCCCATCATTTCCATCCTTCCTTTCTGGCATTAAGAAGGCGGGTGTGTGTGTGTGTGTGTGTGTGTGTGTGTGTGTGTGTGTGTGTGTGTGGTTTAGGGACATGACTGCTTTGGAGGAGGGCTGGCTAGTGGGATTGGGGAAGAATAAACCTGAGACGGTAAGGCTCAAAGGGCTGCGCTGGAGGGAGAGAGACTGCAGCCAACCCCAGCGCTGAGCACTTGTCTCAGTGCTGCTGCCGGACCCCAGTTTGCGGCTCCAAGTTCCCGGTGAAGGCTGCCCTCCAGCTGCGAACCGCATCCGCCAGGCGGCTGGCCCAGCAGGTGCTTGGTGAAGAGGCCAAGAGAAGCTGCTAGTGCCCCCAGCCCCGTCCTTGCTCCCTTCGTGGCTTCCCTCCCGAGCTCTGGATGGGGGCAAGATCCCCCTCCTCTTCCCACCCCTCACCTCTGCTGCCACTCTTCCCTGCCCCCCACCCCCACCTCTCCCAACTCCTTTCGCAAAAGCCTACATGATGTCATGGGGAGGAGGGTTCCGATGGCCCAGCACCTGAAGGCATCACTGGACTGCTTTCTGCAGCATTTTATTTTCTTCCTTCCACCCAGTTTTTCTTGCAATCCATTGAAAACATCCTCCACCAAACATCACAAGCAGTGCTCCCCAGAACCCCACTCCTACATGAACAGACAGGGCCAGGGGTCCCGATACGGAGCATCCCACCTCACCCCTCCCAGACGTGGAAGAAATCAGCAGAGGGGCCCAAGAAGCCTCTTGTCACTGGGTTCTGAGCTCTCCTCCCCTCTCAGCTTACCCTTCCCGTGGAGAGAAGAGGAAGGAGGAAGGAGGCAGCGCGCGAGCCGGCGCAGGCAGCCCCCTAGACGTAGGGCAGCTCTGGGGAGCAGGGTGCGGGATCTCTGCGCCCATCCCAGCCTCCTGCCTTTCCTGCCTCTCCGGAGGGCCTGCCCTCCGTCTCCCTCCCTGGTCTCTACTCCCCACCCCTTCCGTCCTCGCTCACTCCCTTCCACCTAACCCCACCTTCACTCTCCTCTCCGAGGGGGGAGGGCCAGGGGTGGGGAAAGAAACCCCCAAAGCCCCAGCCCCGGGCAGAGAGATGTCGAAGAAACGCAAAGCCCTCGAGGGTGGAGGAGGTGGAGAGTCCCCGAGCCCAGAGGAGGAACCCACTGCCTGGTCTGGGGGCCGCGGCCGCCAGGAGCAAGGTAGGGGGAGGGGGAGGAGGAGAGGGAAAAGGAGCGGCCGGGAAGCCTTTTGGAGTTGAGATCCTCTGCAGGAATGCTCTAGCTGGTCTTCCTCGCAGCTCCCCTTGTCAAGGCAACTTGAGTAGACTTCCCCCCACCCCACAAATGGCATTTTAGTGCTGTCTTCAGGAAATTGGGGGTAGGGGGAACGAGCTGACCCAGCCGGTGCTGGAGACCCAAATCTGGGAGAACTTGAAGCTGTGTGGGGAGAAAGGGAAGGTGGGGTGGGATGGGAGACGAGCCAGGAAGAAGCCAGGGAGGTGTGGAGTGGGGGCTGCTGACCATTTCCTGGTCCTCTGCCTGCCTTGTTGTCCTGTGCACTGGTGTGACAGACTGGCCTAGGGGAGTATGGGCAGCATTGCTGTCTGTGTGCCGGACACCTGTGTCTAGAGGGTGGGATGCCAGCCCTGTCCCCCTAGTGCCTGTGGTCGGTGAGGGACGGCAGGGAGGATGCTGCCTTCTCCCTTGCTTCTCCAATCCAGGGATGCTAAGGGTTGCGTCATGTTGAATCCTCTGCACAGCCAGGCTCTTTGCGTTCTCCTGAAGTTGGAAGGGAGGTTGGAAGCAAATTTGGGGATGTGTTGTGATTCCAAGGAGAGCTGTTGTGATGAGAGCAGTGAGGTGCTCCTTTCCCCAGAATGATACCAAGGAAAAAGTGAAGATGGGAAATTTCCTATGGAAACAAAAGTAATACCTGAGTATCTGATTTCCACATCAAAGAAACCCAAACAGACACCTTTTATTTCACTGAAAGCACTGTGGATTTGGTTAAAGGTAGGCCTAAAGGAACCAGTCAAGCTTTTCCTGGGCTGTTATTAAAAGACAAAGGAAAAATGACCCGGATGCAAATGTTGTGCTGTCGGTTAAGCTGTGGAAAAGGAGGTGGGAGGGCTCATGGGGGAGGGGTGGGGATCCGGATCCAGGCCAGTGGAAGAGTTGTTTTGAGCCATTGCTGGCCTTTCCAGAACCCAGCCTTGGGGTCTTGGTGGGTGACAGAGCAGGTCTAAGCAGAGCACCGGGAGACATGGGCGTGCGTCTCCAAAATGGAGTCATGGCTCTTCTGCCTTGACGTCATAAGAAACCCAAAGTCACCAAGTCCTTCCTGCACATGAGACATGAATCTTTGTGTCCACTGGGAACCTTTTGCATGGCTCGTGTGCACGTCAAAGCAAAGGTTAGGTGTTGGTTCTCCTTGGACAGCGCATTTTGGATTTGCTAGAGATAGATGAGGGCAATGCTGTCCGCTTACCTAGAAATAGGTTGTAGTTTAGTGACTGCCCATATTTTGACTTTATTTGCTCAGGTAGGATCCTAGAACAAAAGTCAGTTCATCTCTTAAATTAATTTCACTGGGAAAATGGCATTTGGCAAGAAATTCAAATATTGCAAGTGGCTTTATCTGATTGGTATTTTTCCATCTCTGGGAAGAACGATTTGGTATCACCACGAGTATGGGACACACTTGTCAGCTCTGCCTCCAGCATTCGGTTTTGACCTGAGGGTTGCTCTCAAAGATGCGCACCATGTTCTTCTGCTTAAGCAGCTGGTGAAGTCTTTGGGAACTGACCTCATTATCGTGGTTAATAACAACAAGGGGCCTTTTAATAACTAATGAATACATGACTTCCGGTTATAAAAGAAAAAAGAATTGTATTTTAACAGACCTATCTCCTCTTTTTTTTGTGGGAATGCTTGGCATTAGAACTTAAAAAGGGATGCTCTGGAGGTCCTGTACTAATAGTAGCAACTAATTTGCGCATTCCCTCATGCAGCAGGGCTGGGCCGAGGATATTGCGCAAGACAGGATAGGTGGCAGTGAGTCCCTCTATCTATATTATTCAGAAATTCTAATAATTTTGAAATGGCTTGTTTTACACATTGGTTTAGTTCTAGAGCTTGCAAATATCTAATGATTTCACTGTATCCTTTGTATCTGGTAAATAAAAATGCCACATGGTAATCGCCTGTAAGGATGTAACTGTAGAAACCATTAAGACTGTAAACACTTAACCACTGTATGACGACGAATGCGTTTCTTTGGGAAATGGTAGCCAGGGCACATGCCCACAGGGGCAGCAGAACATCTCTGTGCATGTGGTCGGGTGAGTGGTGGCGCACACCGCGACCGGGGGAGACGGGGAGGCCTGGTGAGACCTGGCGTGTGAGAGCCTGGTGGTTCCGCTCACGCAGCCTCACATGTGACCGAGGACCTGGGTCTCCTCCACCTCCCCACGTCAGTCTTTGCTCTTGTCTTTCCTTTGGGTCCCTCAGCTGGACTTGGCAGTATGTGTGCTGAAGAACGGACGAGGTGTTCACATCGGTCTTGTTGGCCTTGACTGTCAGAAGGGGCTTCTTTTAAGTTCCAGTGACTTGGAAGGCCAATGTGTTTATTCATTTTAACCATTGAAAGTATATTATAGTGTGTATTAAATTAAGGCAATTGGAAATTAAATTTCAGCAGTAGTCATTGATTATAAGACCATCTGTCAGCAGGTTGGCTTGATCCAAAGTTTTAAATAGCTGATCAGCATACAGGCTACCTGGAGGGAGTGTGGTGGGAGCTTGGAACCTCGGAACAAAGATCCATCATGCCTTTTCATGTCCTCACCCTCCTCCAGTCTATGCCGGGGTGCACGCAGTGCCCAGTCATGGCTGGTGGGCATTCGCTCCACGTGGATATCTCCTGGCTATGGTGCCGGATGCTGTCCCCTTTATAGTTTCTGTTCAGGAGATGCCGTATGGGGATCAAGGTAAGGTCATACCTGGGTCACTGTGAACACACGTGGATGGTTTTGGTTTTCTCCCCGACTGTGATCGTTCCATCTTATTCCATTTAGCTGAGTAAAGAGGAAGAGGAAGTGTGTTGTCCTGGCTTTGGCTGAACATTTCTTTGAACGTCCATTGAAATTATCTGACACGTGTGCATGCCTGTGTGTGTGTGTGTGTGTGTGTGAAGTCACAGACGGCATATCGCCCCTCATGGGTCTCAGCTGAGTCCAACACGTGTTCAGATTGTACCTATGAAAGATAGTTGCATAAAATGTGCAACTTTTAAAGATTCTGTCTTTACCATTAAGAGGGGTTTGGTTGCCAACGACAATGCCGGCCCCAGTTTCTCCTTCGCTCTGCTTCTCCTTTTCTTTGTTGTTTTGAGCTTGACACAAGAGCATGTCCCGGGACTCCATTAGCTGTGAAGACGGTGGCTGTGTTGAAGGCTGCTTGGGAGAGTCTCTGAGGAAAACACTGAAGAACTTTATGGATGGATCTTATTTCCTGGGAAAATATTCCGATGTTTTCTGCTCTCTTCACTTTCTCTTCATTTTAGTCCCTTCTTGAGGAATTATTATTGACTTGGATGCTGGTTTGACCACAAGACATGTCATCAGCACCGTGCGCTGAAACATGGTGAAAAGCGCGGTTTCCCCACAGCCTCACTCTGGTGCGAAGCCTGCTCTCCTGGCCTGTCCGTCTTCCCGCCCATTCTCTGGTTCTTGTGTATTGTTTCACTCTTATTTCTTTTGGGACGACTTTTGAATGAAGATGATGTCTGTTGTTCATTATGACATTCCATACATTTAATGAGTGTTTTAAAAATAAGTAGTTTCTATTTTTGAGGGCATTGGCTAAGATCCCATCTAATGCCGTGTTCCAGATTCCTGCTTCGACCAAGTGCCCTGAAGGGGAGCCTCTGTTTGGAGGGTTGCTGGGGCAGGTCTGGGTAGGAACTACGACCTACTCACGGTTCACATTCCCCAGACATCCTGAGCTGCCGGGACACTGGCTGTGGGTCGCCATTCCTTCCTCCCATGAGTGAGTGCCCGGAGCAAGCGTGTGGTTTCCTACAGCTGTGTATCTCTTTGACATCACAGTGGCTTCTGGGTTTTGTGGCTTCCCTGTGTTATTAAAGGGTTCTTGGTTTGGAGAACATTCTATGCCTCTCAAACTCATTTCAGGTAAATATCTAGATTGTTAGCTGACTTACATCTCCCTGACACCCCCGACACCAGTCAGAATGATTTTTTCTGAACAGATTAATTTTTTAAAATAATTGACTACATTGTTTTGTTATTATGAAAAAAATCTTTTAAGGATGATTTATAATCATTAACATAAAAGAGTGGGCATGACCTCTGGAGGAAGACCTGATGTTGAAGAACATTCTTACGGAAGTTCGAGAGCAAAGAGCTACAGCTCAGGTGTTTTTGTCATTCTGTTGGCTTCTCTGGCTCCCACCAGAAGGGCCATTGCTGTGTGGGGCGCCGGAGATGCTGAAGGAGAGAGGGGAGTTTAGGGAAAGAAACACACAAGGATGGAGACCAGGAGTCCGAGAGTTCTCACAGTCCGACCAGAAAGGAAATTACACATAAATGGAAAACAAAAGGCGCCCTGTTGTGTGTCTCCTGGTTGGCCCATAACTTTAGAAGGTCGAACCTCTAGGACTGGGTTGTGTCGGTGTGAAGAAGTGGACAGGTCGCACTGGACCGCAGACCCCGTGGTGACCCACCGGGGGTGGGCGTGTGTCTGCAATGGCGGAGGTGCCACGTCCCACCCGTAAGCCGCACTCACTGTGTTCGCAGTTCACTGTGGCTTCATTACGAGTCTCGAGTATACGGGGAAGGAGGATTTGTCGTAACACACAAGGAAAACCCAGGATCCACTAATAATGTGAATGCAGTCTGTCCCGCTCCCGGCTTGCCACGCAGCTCTTTTCTTGCCCGTTTCCTCCAGGCTTCGTTATTCAGTCGGTGTCTGATTGTCAGGTTTCTGAAGTCGCTGTTATTTAATTGTCTGAAATGCAGTGCAGAAAAATTTCAAAGAGGAACTGAAGTGTTGCCAATGACAGGATTTCATGAAGTCCCTGAGAGTGATGCTGGGGACAGGGCCACTCCTGTGCGAAGCCGCGGGAAATGAGTGAGACCCTCGGCGGAACGACGATGCAGTGTCCCCACTGCCACAGATTC